CTCACAGCGCCAGGGACCCAGGTTCGATTTCAGCCTCGGGTGACTGTCTGTGTGGAGTTTGCACATTCTCCCCGTGTCTGCGTGGGTTTCCTCCAGGTGCTCTGGTTTCCTCCCACAGTCCAACGATATGGATTGGCCATGCTAAATTGCCCATAGTGTTCAGGGATGTGTAGATTAGGTGGGTTATAGGGGGATGGGTCTGGGTGGGATGCTCTGAGGTTCGGTGTGGACTTGTTGGGCCGAAGGGCCTGTTTCCACACTGTACAGATTCTATGATAATTCATTCAAATATACAATAGGACAGCAAATTAAATATTTTGTTATTTCATGGAGAAATGCTGTGTAGATTAAACTAAGTGAAACTAATCATAATTAATGGTCTGTGTTCACCTTTCTATGTGATAAATCAGCTTAACAATTAAAACAAAACAAACCCCATCTGCTTTCAACTCAGTTAGCTGTCAGAGAGATTAATTATTTGTATGCGTGGGAGATAAGTCATCCTGTTCCTGTCACAAACAACATGATGGTTATAACCACTGTTTCTATTGTTGTTCCAGTAGATATTGGCAGTTCTGAAATAACTGTCATTAAAGTTACTCTGTCCTTGTGCAGAATGACCGGTGCCATTCAACAACAGATGGCATCTGTGGCAGATCTGAATTGATTATGGGAGGACAGTGGTAATGAACTTTGACTGGTAATATAAAGGCGCAATGCTCTGGCTCAGCGGTTCAATCCCACCGATTTAAATTCAATTAATATATCTGGAAGGAAAAGCAATGTAGATAGGCATGTGCTGTCAGTTTGCTAAGTAGACAAACAGAATTTGCAAGATTAATCATTCAGACTTCAATGTAGTGTTTAGAAAGCTGAACAACTCATCCTGATCTGGTGATCATATACTCATGTGGAGAGGTATGTGTTCTGCTTGGTTGCTCTTGCTTGACAACTTGGTTGCCTTGCTGCTGGTTGCTGTGACTCAACATCATGTACAATCATCATCATGAGTTTTCTTCCTTACTTTCCTCATGCATGATGTGTTATACTTAAGTCTGGCTTCTATTCTATTGCAATGCAATGTGATGATCTGTAATAACTTTGTATGATGTGAATTGGTTGTATGTTCTAGAAACCTTTGCTGATATCCAAGTACCTGTAATTGTATTTCTCACATGTGCTCAGACAAGTGTGCAGTTCTGATAGCTCTCTACCTGCTCATTGTATTTTGTCATGTATTTAATTAATTCTCCTCTGTATTTGAAGAAGAATGTCCGGTGCCTCTGAGTGGATAGAGAATTGATTGTGGTGAAAATTTGTTTGTAATTGCCTACTTAGCATAAGTTGTACGAGAGATGGCAGTGCATTCGCTTTTAGCACTGCATGAAAAAGAAGCTTTGCAAATGTGACATTTGACACTTGATCATTGATTTGATATACATACAATATGTTTTGCTTCATGGTTTCAGTGAGGATAATGGAGTGATGACGTGATATAGGTTACTCAGTACTTAGCACCTATCTTGAAATGATCTGTTTTGAATTGTGGTCCATTGTTAAAAACCACCCACTCTGGAACTTCGAATAAAATGAAAATAGCTGTTATCATATCTGCAATGGCTGCACTCGTATCATTAAGAGGTTGAACAATGGGTAATTTGGAGAATTAATCTATCAGAAGGATGTAAACTTCCCAGTGCACTGTGAATAGGTCCATTGCTTTTTTCATCCAAGCAGTGAAAAGAACGTTGTGGAGATGTGAGCTGCCTCCGCTGCTGGTGCTGATACATCTGGTATGCCTCACATGCATTCATGAGTCATTGAATATTATGATTCATCCTTGGCCAGTACACCAATTCACATGCTAATTTTCTTGCAATGCAGCACCTCATCAAGACTCCTTCAAACCCATGACCTCTGCTCTGTTGAAGGACAAATGCAGTGCATGAATGAAACATCACCATTTCCCATTTCCCTTCCAACCCACAGAGTGTGCTGATTTGAAACAATGTCACCATTCTTTTACTTTCACAGATCAAATCCTAGAATTCATTTTCTAATAATACTTTGGGCATACTTACACCATGTGGATTGCGAGCAGATGAAAAATGTAGTTTAGCACCATCTTCTCTGGGGCAATTAATGGGATGGCCAACAGCACATGCTAGTGACACCTTGTACCATGAAAGAATAGATGAAAAAAGGCAACATTGTACACATGTTTCATTAGAATTCAATGCAAACTTGTATTAATATGAATCAGAGATAGTAGGAACTGCAGATGCTGGAGAATCCGAGACACCAAGGTGCAGGGCTGGATGAACACAGCAGGCCAAGCAGCATCATAGGAGCAGAGAGGCTGACGTTTCGGGCCTAGACCCTTCATCAGAAAAGGGGGAGGGGAAGGGGGTTTTGAAATAAATAGGGAGAGAGTGGGAGGCGGATAGAAGAGGGATAGAGGAGAGGATAGGTGGAGAGGAAACAAACAGGTCGAAGAGGCGGGGATGGAGCCAGTATGGTATCAATGTGGATTTCACAAGTTTCAAAATCTCCCCTCCCCCTACCGCATCCCAAAACCAGTCCAGCTCGTCCCTGCCTCCCTAACCTGTTCTTCCTCCCACCTATCCCCTCCTCCCACCTCAAGCCGCACCTCCATCTCCTACCGACCAACCTCATCCCGCCCCCTTGGCCTGTCCGTCCTCCCTGGACTGACCTATCCCCTTCCTAACTCCCTACACCTACACTCACCTTTACTGGCTCCATCCCCGCCTCTTCGACCTGTTTGCTTCCTCTCCACCACTCTATCCCTCTTCTATCCGCCTCCCACTCTCTCGCTATTTATTTCAAAACCCCCTTCCCCTCCCCCTTTTCTGATGAAGGGTCTAGGCCCGAAACGTCAGCCTCTCTGCTCCTATGATGCTGCTTGGCCTGCTGTGTTCATCCAGCCCTGCACCTTGTTGTCTTGTATTAATATGAGTTGAGTCACCACTGGTCAGGGTAATACAATGTCAGTTAGGCAATACAAAACTACTTTAGCATGGACAAATGCTCATACAATTGACTCATAGTATTGCGCGAGTCACAATCTGATGCAATACCAATATTTTCTGAGAACACAGTGGCTGATTGGCCAAGCTTAGCAAATCCATCTAAATTTGTTTTGGGGGAAAACATCAACTGTATAAACCATGAATATCAGGAACTACCAGTGCTGGCACTAATCTTATGCAATATAAAAGACAATATAGGATGTTATACTATATATCAGCTTTGCCCCTCTTGAATTTATCCTTCAGTAGCATTCAGGCTTCTCCCTGTTTCTTACTGAATTGATACCACATTGGGGGGGTGGGGGGTGGGGAAAGGGTCCAATCAGAGTCAAGCTATAAGGTATGGATGATGGTGGTGCTACTTGTAAAATTTCTACCACCAATGCATTGTTAACTAGACAGCACAATATTACAGACAATAAGTAATATCTTTCTTGGCAGAATGCAACAAGCTTTGGGAGACCAAGCTATGACAGGTCCAGCCCGAGATTGAGCAGAAAGGTGCCCTCTGTTAAACCATGTTAGTTGCTGACTATTCAATCATTACTTTCAAGCAGGTGGCACAATATTCACACAGACTTCACTCTCTTTATTCTAGGTTTTCCCAATGTAGTGAATCTGCATTTTAATACAAATCGTACTTGATTTGTTTTGTACGGAATTTATCCCATGGGGTCAATGACTCTCACAGTCCATACTTTCTTAATGTTCTCATTTTTGGCAAAGTTTGGATTAAATAGGTTTTAACTATATGCTTGAAATTTAGTGTGGGAGCAACTTTCGGTGCCAGCCAAAGGACATGTGCACTGTAAGATGTGCGCCATAAGCAAAGCACTAATGTAAAAAAGACAAAGGATTGAATTTGTATTTTATTACCATTGTTGATACATTCAAGAAAGGATACTATTACTTTTTTTTCGTATGATTACTCTACTTGAACTGCAGTACTGAAGACATGCTGAAGTCCATGTAGGGGGAGTATTATCGTGATTTCGCGCCCTCGAGAATCACCAGAAAATGTCAAACGACATCCACATTCGTCAAAGTAGCATGGCCTATTTTACGATGCAATTTTCCAAGCTTTTTGAAGAAATTGTGGTTCAATTTTCTCGAGACCGGTTACAATTTTGTAATCACCATGGACAGCTCTCAGCGTTACGCAATTTGCTGCAAAATCGGAGCATTTGTGGTGTTTCCTCTATACAATTAGGAACGGAGTGGACCACAGCTTGTTCCAGTAGGAGTTAATTACCATTACATTCGTATTTTCTGTCAATGCTTTAGATATGCAAGTTGGAAGGTAAAAGTTAGGTTAGGACACAATTGGGAACTTCTCGGGCACAAGATTACTTTTTCCATTATACCAGCAACATCACTTCAAACTGCTTACATACTGCAAGGATGTTATCCTGTACCACAATGTGCCTCATTTATTAGCTTTGCTAACGAAATATTTGTCTATAGGAGGTTTATCGAATAGTGTAGTAAATGTGATTGAATTCGGTTACTAAATGTAACAATTTTATTTCCACCCAGTATACATCAAGCTTTGACCACGGGTTTTAACAATGCTGAGAAGGCTGGTCGTACAGAGTGTTCTGTCCCCAGGAATCCCTCAGTTTCGAGTCCGTACTGCGCTGTGAAATCAAGATCTGCTGACGGAGGTGATTGCTGACGCTAATCCAGCTCCATCTACTGAGTCCTGTAATAAAGTTTGTTTTTTTCTTTAATAAAACCTTTTTTTGCATACGATTGCCAGCTTTTTTTTTTCGTTTCCTTTAATGATTGGCCACATTTGTTGCAGTTGAGTGGTTCGGGATTAGTTTTCGGATGTGATGATCATCATCAAACCGGCTTACTGAAACGCACATTAACGTGGTGTGATGTCAGAGAAAAGGTACTTATCAAGGCTCGGTCTCAAGCCCCCACACAGAGAGTTTGAAACCTCGGACAACAGCGGTGCGAGAGTATGATTGGCAAAGGCAAGGACAAAAGTCAGTTATTTTTGTATTAGTTTTAAAGTTTGTTCGGTGAAGTTCTTGTTTCAGAAAGAACTGTTGGTCATCCGCAAAGAATTCCCGAAGTCTTCCAAGATCTGCCCAATCTTCAATTCGAAATTCCGCTACAAGACGTCTATTTGGTGAGTGTTGGGCTTCAATTTCCTCGTATCGGTTTTTACAAGTCAAATCTCGTCCACACATTCTGTAATACACATCCTTGTACGGGATAACTGGTATAGTCGTTGAAGAATTGACAAATGTTCGAGATAAAGTGTCGATTATTATATCAGAACGTGGTGTTCCTATAAATTTTAATTTCGACTACTCAGTGCTTCTTTAAACTTCTACAGGTAAGATAATAAGCACAGGCGCGCACAGTTTAAAACGGATCGGGACAACGCTGTGAAATAGTTGACATTTCCATTGCAACGCCGCTGGATTCGATGGACCCTGGAGAGGGTTCCTGCGTCTTTAAATTGATGAGCGAGTTTAAATTCGGAGCTCTGCTCCTTACGTCTCTGGCAGAGCAGAGCCTCCCACTGGCTCCAACCATAGTCAGCGAGCTGCAGTTTCATCCATTCCATGCGATCGTGAAGAATAAATCAAGTGTTTTTATTTTAAAGAGTCCTTAACACGGCTGGTTAATCCTTTAGCAATTAATTTCCCTCTCTATTCTCTTCAACAGACCACCTGAGGAGGACCTGTATCTTGTAAGGATTCCGATTCAATTTCTCTTCACAAGAACTGACTACCTAGAAGTAAGTGAGGGAAGAGGGATCGATTTACATATGCAGCAGAATCCTGTTTTACATTTTTCACACCGTTCCGAGTCACTGTGTGGGAACATGTCTATCTTTAAAGGTTATGCTGAAATTTCTGTGCATTTGATTTTGACTCGCACATTCTCCTGTTTACAGGTTAGAACGGAGATGTCCAACACAAGCCGATTGTTTGAGCAGCTGAGTTTTGCGATATTTATTCTGTGTTGTTCACTGCCCATATTTGGGAAACCAGTGGATGAAATCTCCATTATAAAGTAAGGCTTTCTCTTGTGGTTTTTATTCCTTATTTGTGGTTAGCAGAGACTGAGCGCACTGACCGGGCTGTAGTGTGTGCTGAATGCTGCGCGTAATGTATTCACATATTTCCCTGTGCATTGCAAGAGGTGAATTACAGTTTTCCTTGTAATAACTGTACCTACTTAAATACAGCAATTGTGTCAGCTTTTCGTTAAACTGTGACACGTGATTTGGGTGCACGTTTCATCAGTTTTAAGTCGAAGGCTGTGGCGGGTCGCGAAAAAGTTGGCGATTTAATCAAATTGCAGGCAATGACAAAGTGAAACTGCGCAGCCAACACTTTGTCTCAGTATTTAATCCCGTTTGTACCGCAGCGCCCCAGCTCGAGGTGCAATCAGTTTGCGACCAGTTGCAAACGCCGTTCGACTTGGGAATCAACTGACTCAGGATGAAGAGTGCTGTACCTTCTGGCCGCATGACGTCGTTCGGGTCAAACCTCGGCTTTAGATGTCCAGTTCACTTTCTGCACCTTGAAGTGATCTTGGCAGAAAATAATTCATAATGAAATCAAAGCATATTAAAACGTTGACTCTAACATGACTGCGGCGCTGTGTTCAGTTGGAATGCATTTTGGATAGTACAGCTTTCCTCTTACGGTCGATTGGAATTTGATGGCTGTGTTTTGATGTGGTTAGAACTGGTTTGAACTGTGCTTGCGCCTGTGCCGAGCTGTCTAATGTAAAATAATAAAAATCTCGTGTCTGTGTTTTGTAGGAAGAGGTCTGTCTCGGAGCACCAGTTCATGCATGACAAGAGCAGGTCTATCCAGGAGCTACAGAGGCGGATCTGGCTGCATAATGTCATGGGCGAACTGCACACAGCAGAGGGCCGGGGAATGGCTCAGCCACAGACGCCCCGTAACCCCAAACACCCGGCGACGTGGCCGGACTCGGCGGATCTGGCCGTGCTCCTCATCAAACTGGCAGCCAACAACAACAGCAACAACAACGAGGGCACCAGGACTCCGCTAGAACAGATACAAGACACCAACAAGCCCGGTCCTTTCAAATACCAGAACTCGAAGAAAAATGGCAAGAAGAAGAAGCAAGGGAAAAACAACAAGCGCAAAGCTCACAGAGGTCGGGAGGAGAAGAGCAGGAGGCAGGCACGCTCGGTGAATTCCGAAATCGGGGATCCCAATATCGCATCCGATTCCGTGCCGCTCCCCACTGCCGCCTCTGGACGGTTTTGGCACTGAGGGGCCAACCTCTAACAAATAGCCCTAGGTAATTACGTAATATTCTTCCAATAAATTATCTCAGACTTGCTTTAAAGGTCAGTGTTGCAGGTAAAAAAAAGCCGAGAGCGGTAAATTGCGGCTGTCATGTACAGTCAATAAAATCCGGTCACTCACATAATGATCCCGGACTGACGAGAGCTGCCAGATACAAGGAGCACAGGTCAGTTTATACTCGAGTGCTCGCACCTTACTCCCTTTTAATATTCACAGAGGATAGGTCCCATTCAACATTTTAAATGGGTACGTTCCAAATGTATTTTTGCACCAGCCTATAGGTATACCATTCATCCCGCTCAAACCTGCAAGTGCTGTGAGACAGGGACCTGGAGGGTATCCAATGGAATTGATGGCAGATCAGCAACCAAGTTACTTTTCTGATTTTCACATTCCGTTCCGGTGAAAGTGGCTGCCTTAGGGATTTATTTTGCTTTAATAACTAACGAACAAGAAGGGTACTTAAAAAGTGAAAATTATAGCCAGAGGCTGTAACATGTTGGAATTTAATCGACTATGTACAAACCTAATCCTTCCCAAAATGATTTACCGCTGCGCTGATGCTATCATTTTTTCTGACCAATCAAAGCAGTTTTGACTGTGTGCCAATAGAAGTTGGGATCGAATCTAAAGCCAAGGAGGTACCAGACCTCTCCAGAAATCAATTTTGCAACAGAGACTGGTCACTATATGGAATGTAATTCCCATGTGCGCCAGCAGGTTTAAAAGCAGCTCAGATGAAGCAATCTCTTGTGCACTTTTAACTTTTTATACCGTACAATTAATGTCACATGTTTTGAGAAAACGACGCGACCCCCCAAGACTCCTGCAGTTTAAAAAAATGTACAGAGGGAGTACAGCTCTGTGCAAACACTCGCAAAGCATCATCTTACATGAAGACTTCACAGAAACATGGTCATTGAGACCAAGAAAACGATAATGCAAGGCGAATTTAAAAATTGGTCAAAATGCTGGGGTTTAAGAGAGGTGTTAAATTAAGAGCGAGATCGAAAGGGTTAGGAAGAGAATTCCAGAACTTGGGACCAAGATATCTGAATGCCTTACCTGCTGTGTATTCGGAGGAATGTAAGGGTTAGAGAAGACTGACCGAGATAAGGAATAATTACCTACTCTAGCCGGCACCATCCCGTTCACTACCACATTTAGTGCTTGCTTTGGTTTTGTATATTGCAAGTACGTATCTTGTGTTGACACTACAACGTCAGTGTTTCTGTAAAATAGGTTTTATAAAAAGATAACGATACAGAATTGCAGTTCTGTATTCTTTTAATCCCGTGGATATTTCTAAATGTGTAATTTGACATCATGCTGGAGTTATACTCTATGTTGTGCCAAACCCAAGTGATTTGAGGCTGCCTCAAATCAGTTGGGTTTGGCACAACATGGAGTGTAACTCAGCATGATGTCAAATTACACTTTTAGAAGCATCTACAGGATTAAATGAATTTCCTAGATACATATTAAAAACCAGCAGAATTTAATTTAAACATTTAGATAGTGTGGAACTGCTGGAGTGGCTACAAACTAAACCAGCCTGTATTACAGGCTGGTAACAGCTATTTTAGCAACTTGCATTATATAGTACGTTTAAAGTAATGAAATGTTCCAAGGCACTTAACATGAGCCTTATAAAGCCTTTCTTTAACAATAAGGTACATAAAGCATCATTATAGCAATGGCAATAAGCTTGTGCAAAGAGGAAAATGTAAGTAATGTTTTAAAGGAGGGGTGGCGGCTGTGAGGTTCAGAGAGTGAATTCCAGAGCTTAGTGCCTGGGTAGCTGAAGGTAGAGACCCCAATATTTGAACAACTAGAATCTGGAATGCTCAAGAGGTCAGCAGATATCTCAGAAATTTGCTGGGCTGCAGAAAATCACAAAGATAGGAAGAGACAAGGCCATGAAGGGATTGGAAGGAGGATGAGAATTTTAAACTTGAGATGTTGCTTAATTGAGCACTAATAATATAGACTAATGAATATGGGAAAATACCACCAGGTGCAAGTAAAGACACAAGTACCAGAGTTTTGGTTGACCTCAAGTTTACAGAACATACAATTTGGGAAGTTGGCTAGGAATTTGGTGAAATAGCCAAACCAGAGATAACAAAGATATGGATAAGCGTGTCAGATTCTGAAGATCTCTAGGACAGAGTCAAGTGACATAACAGATGTGGAAATAAATGAAATTAATCATGATGCAGTTACGTGGTCAGAAGCTCATCTCATGGTCAAATCTGATACCAAGGTCACAAACAAACCAGATCAGCATCTAACAGTTGCCACAAATCGGATGGCAAATGCAGCATGAGATTGTCAGAGTTAATAATAGAGCAGAGAAAGTGGATAGTGACATACGAATGCTACAATGTACCAGGAAATCATAGACAAAGAGAATACAGTTAGGGTGGGTTTACATTTTTAACTTTGTGAAAAATGTTGAGAGAATACGTGCAATATCTTTTGACTTCACTCTGTTAGATCAGGTTCTGACTTTAGATTACACTTCAATTATTTTATTTGCATTACATTAATTTGCACCAATGCTACACTTACCATGTGTAAGACTAAGAAAAATACATAATTGGTGATTGTTCTTCAAACTTATGAACTCGTGCATCTAAAATCTGTTTAACTAAGCATTATTATTGTATAAACATACTATTTGTTGAAGCATAACTGCTCTGATATTTACTTTGTGTTCTAATACCTGTTTTTGATTCATAGATTCATAATTTAAAGGTATTAGGATGTGGTTTAGTAAAGTATTATATGAAAGCTATCCAACAGCCAATCCAAAAGTGATCAATATTTTCCAATGGCCTTCTTTCACACTACAACAGAATACAATGGAGACAACTTCAAGTAATTTGCCCTGCTGACCTTTTGATTTACAAGAACAAAGAAATTTCCAATACATTCATATTTTATCATATTTTGTTTGATTTTGTAATCTGCCCTTGGAGATGAAGAATGACGTTTAATTTCAATGGTCATGAGATATCAAACCAAGTACACGTTGTGACCACATGGAGTAACCTAACAAGGAATGAACGATTGTTATACTTTGTAAATTTGTCCCATGGGAACTGGAATAAACTTGAAGGAACATAATTAACTTAAGCTTATAGGTTTTCTAGCCCACTATGCCAAATGACTTCCACGCCTAAAACGCAAAATATAAACTAACAAGTATTCGATTACATTAAGTTGTAGAATTTCCCGTGACCTGGATAGTGTTTGGAGCAACATCGAATGAGAGCCAGCAGCTCGATATTGAGCCGGACAGCCTGCATGACTTTTTGATATTTGAAGAGGAATTCCCAAATAAGTTTCATTGCAAAGCTATCAATATAGTTGTTGATTGGTTGTATTTCTATGGAACGTTGCTGATTTTGTTTATTTTAAATTCTAAGTGACAGAAGAATTTTCCTTTTTTTCCAGGCAGGTCTGTTATTCAGGAAAGACCAACAAACTCTTTTGCAGTATTCTGTATTTGTGATCATAATTAAAGTATTAGACATATTTATTGATTGTAAATATTAAAAAAGAATAAAGAAGTGTGTTCACTATGGAACTGTACATCGGTTATTATGAATATTTAAAATTCATGATTAATGTCACATACTGTAATTTATTTGTTAAATCATCTATTTATTTAAATTGTGTATCTTGGTGCTGCTAATATGTAGGTACATTGTAAATATATGCACTTTAGAGTTCGAGTAATGTTGTTAAGTGACCTATAATAAAGAGTTTCGTGGTTCGTTGAATTGCAAAAGGAAGTATTGCTCTTTAATAACACGAATTATACATTTTACCGTGGCATCTGGTGAAATTTTTAAAAAATCAGAATGTTCAATTATTTGGCAAAGAGCCCTGCAATTCCTTAAAGTGCTCTGATTTGAAAGGTGTTCTTCCAGTGAGTAAACGAGGATTAGATATAATAAAAGGGGGTAATATCAGCGGTCTCAAGCCAAAAAATACTTCCAAGGAAGACATTCGAGTTCGCGGCATAGCGTTTAGACGAATCATGGGCACACCTGCTTAGTCAGGAATGCTTTGTATGACCACCCAGAAACCTTTGCTAACGAAAATGTTAACTTCTGATTTTATTTTGAGGAATAGATCCCTGGTTTTGCAATAAGAATCTGAAGGGAAGCTTATATTTAAAGTCTGACAGTCACAAAGCGGATTTCGGTGAAACTACACAGCCACGTGACTCGCACCACGTTAATCTATCGATTAGTAGGTTTCGCTACCTACGTTAGATTATGAAGCAAGAATTTCAAACAAAATGTTGGTATGAGTGAACGGAAACCTTCAGCTTCCGTGTGCCAGTGGAGGGCAGCACGGATCCGAGGCACAATCGAGAAAAAGCCGAAATTAATCCCCAAATTAAAACGCCAGAGTTCAATTTCAGACTTGAAGCGATTGTATAAATGAAGCATTTTTTTTTGTTGTTGCTGCGTTATCAAAGAGAGGTCAACTGTGAGGGAAACACATTCGGCTGTTCAGTAAGCGGTGTCTAACCATCTAAGTAAAAACCGAAAGAACTGCGGATGCTGTAAATCAGAAACAAAAACAGAAGCTGCTGGAAAGCTTGGCAGCATCTGTTCTGAGGAAGGGTCACCAGACTTCACAGATACTATCAGACCTGCTAAGCTTCTCCAGCAATTTCTGTTTTTGTACCTATCTAAACCGGGTATTTCACCTTGTTAATTCCAATCTTTTCCAGGCTTCTATACAGCACACCGATCTCCTGCTCTTTTCCTTCCTGAAAATCTTCGTAGTTAGGAGACAAAAACAGCTTGCGCCTTTATTTAGATCTAAATAGTACTTTATAAGTAATAATTAAGCACACAGTTAAGCAAATGCTGAAATAAATATCGACACATACTGCGAGACAGTCCTCATTATTATTCTTGAGTGGTACTTGAGACTAAATATGTAAAACAAATCTTATTTTGAAATTCAACCTGATTCGTATTATTCAAATCTCTGCACACGAATTTATTGATGTGCGTTTCTCATTCAAGAAATGAATCACAATATCTTTACCCTGAATGAGTAGTATTTTTCTTTGTGTCAGACATCCACTTCTAAGTAGTTGCCAAAATCAACTATGCTATTCATGGTGAAAACCTGCATGAAGTTTGGCTGGAAAGCCAGACTTCAAAGTTTGCATTTGTACCACAGCGGCCCCAATTGGTCTATGGAGCAACACTTTTTAATTCCAGATGAATAATTTTCAATCTGATTGCAACAATTTCTAAATCCTCCCAGAACAAGGACATGTGACTTATGTAAAGGTTTCATTTTCAAGTTCTGTACAAGTCTTCTGTTGCAAACACACTAGAAAACTAGCAAATAACGTAATATGTCATAAAAGTTTTGAAAAATAGAGCGGCACGGTAGTTAACACTGCTGGCTCACCGCACCAGGGACTCGGGTTCAATTCCATCCTCGGGCGACTGTCAGTACGGGTTTCCTCCCACAATCTAAAGATTGGCCAAGCTAAATTGCCCATAGTATTCAGGGATGGGTGGGTTTGCCATGGGAAATGCAGGGATAGGGCGGGGGTATGGGTGTAGCTGCGATGTTATTTGGATGTCGATGGGCCGAATGGTCTGCTTCCACACTGTAGGGATTCTATGAATTCTATATCTAAAAAGGAAGAGATCAGCCAATGTAAACGTGCCTCCGTTACAAGTAAAGATAACATAAATAAGGAAATGGTTGTATATTAAACAAATACGGTAAAATATGCCTAAAACGAGTTCTAATGAGAATAAGAAGCTTAAAATAGCACGGGTAAAATTAATGGAACAAAAACATTAACCTACCAAATCAATTCGACTTAATGACTTATATTCTATAAATTTAAAAGGTTCACTACAAAGTTAGTGGATGCCATTAGTTTTGATCTTCTCAAATTCCCTAGATTTTAGTATCATTCCCACAGATAGGAAGGTAGAAACATAAATTTGTTGTTCAAGGAAGGAAGTAGAGAGAAACAAGTAGAGAGGATAATGTAAGAATCCATTGTCAAGTAATGGTACCAGGAAACATAAAAAAAATCATAATCTGATTTGAAATCAACATACTGTTAGCCAGTCTGTTGGCTCAGTTGGCTGGTTTGTGATACAGAGCGATGCCAACAGTATGGGCTCAATTCCTGCACCAGCTGAGGTTACCATGAAGGATTCTCCTTCTCAACATCTCCCCTCACATGAGGCTTGATGACCCTTAGGTTAAACTGCTAGCTGTCATCGCTCTCTAATGAGAAAGCAGCCCATGGTAACTTTATCTTTACCTAGTGTATTTGGGTTTTCAAAACAAAAATACATCTCATTGGAAGGGAGAAATGGCTTGGCATGGATTGAGGATCTGTGACTGGGTAAAAAACAGATCAATTTGAATTTGACATGTTGTAACAGAAGGACTCTCTGCTATTTACAAATTATATCATTGGTTTGGATGAGGGAACTATAGGTATGTTAGTGTATCCAAGTTTGTTGATTTTACAGCATCAGATAGAAAAGTAATCGGTGAGATAGACGTAAAAAGGCTCCAAAAGGAGATAGACTAGGTACGTGGGCCAGAAGGTAGGCTGGCGAAGTGGGAAGTCATTTACTTTGGTAAAGAAAATAGAGTAACAGAATTGTTTTTAAATAATGAGAGTCTGGGAAATATTGGTATTCATAATGATCGAATGTCCTTGTATATGAATGACAGATAGCTAACATGCAAATTTAGTGAGATTGTTGGAAAACAAATAGTGCATTATTCCTTACTACAAAGTGTTCAATGTACAAAAGTGTAGAAGTTATATAGGGTTATACAGGGTCTGAGAGAGATCACACCTGAAGCATTGTGCACAGTTTTGATCACCTCACCTAAGAAATAATATACTAATCTTGGAGGATATGCAAGATAAACTCACTAAACTGATTCATGGGGTCAAGGGAACAAAAACAGAAATTGCTGGGAATACTCAGCAGGTCTGGAAGCATCTGTGGAGAGAAAGCAGAGTTAAATCAACTTGATATGTTAATTGTGCTTTCTCAATAGATTGAGTACTAAAGGATTCAGGGGTATGGATATTGGGTAGGAAAGTCAATTTGAAGTATAGGATCAGCCATGATCTTGTAGAATTTTGTAACAGATTCAAAGGGCAGAATAGCCTACTCCTACTGATACAATTACTTAGAAATTATAGATTTCCATTGTAAATTATTAAAGGAAAACTGTCTTCAGAAAGTGGTAAAATGCTCTTATTTGTCAAATTGAAGAACTGAAGATAATTTTCAGCAGAAGTGTCACACCCAAATGTTTTTAATCAATTTACCTATAGTCAATTATAATCAAGAAAATAAAACTTAAGTGCTTTTTTTTATGAAGAGAATGCCCACCCTCCAAATTTAATTCTCCACAGTTGCTTTTGTATGGCAGACTGTGAACATATGCTGAGACTGGGGTGATCTAAGGTCAATTAAACATTTATAAATCTGCCATTAATTAAAATTCTCACTTAAATATCCAAAATAACTAAAAAAAACACATTAAAAAGATCATTTACAGATGTGCTTTGCTTATCTCTTTTCTTCCAAAGTTAACAACATCCATTGCCTTTTAGTTGGGCCCACATAAATGAAGAAATAGATTTGGAACATGGGTCTATACTCAACTAAATGAAAGAAAAAATCACCAGGAAAAAATGTTTGTTTTCATTCCTTTACTCCTCAATCTCATTCTTCTGGTGCACCATAATGATATTGCAAAGGACATGCCAACAGATGAGCTGCTTATAAATTAAAATCTATCAGTGTAAATCAACTTTGCGTTGATGAGAACTACTCTCAAAAGCAGCAGAGTGGCCTGGGGGCTCTAAAAACTGACGTACTGAAGGCAGGAAACATCACTTTTTTGATCATAATCATGTGATCCTCAGGTAACTCACAAAGTAAACTTTCAGTAGAGCTTTTAAAATGTAGATGTCTTTTAGGATTGTTGGTTATTGATTTTCTTCAATTCAGAGATTGCTTGGTGCCCACCTCCCAAAACAACATTATTGCTGCCAAGAGTTTACCCTAGAACTGAAAGTAATGCTGGCTATGGGCATTCCATTGAGATTGATAATTATAGGTGTTGGATTTAGGATGAAAAGGAATTATCCATGCAAAGAAAAAGATGTTGTATTGTTGAGACAGACTCCTGGCATTAACCCACTTGCAAAATTGGAAGTCAGCATCCTCTGCTTTCCTCCCTTCAGCAGGGATGCAATCCTCAGATTATTCCCCTTAAAAACCTATATTTGAACTGCAGATGACATCCAGCACTGGGATAGCTTTATGACCATGATGTTGAACAATTTTTGCAATTTTGTTTCATTTTAAAGCATCATTAGTGGCAATTGTCAGTATGCCATCTTTCCACATATCACTGCGTCAAACAAGTCACCACAGCCTTGATTATCAAAGGCAATAGTTTGTCATTTTTCCAGTAGAAATGAAAGAATAACTAGAGAACACCAACATTTCTATCAGCTAGCTACATTCCCAAGGGGGCAGAGCATCACTGATGATGACTATTGTTACCATCAGGGGCACAAGTAACAAACATATGACATATAGCAATATTATGAAAAATATATTAATAGTTATGTCTGTGTCA